AGGGAAGGGAAGGGAAGGGAAGGGAAAGGAAGGGAAAGGAAGGGAAAGGAAGGGAAGGAAGGGAAGGAAGGGAAGGAAGGGAAGGAAGGGAAGGAAGGGAGAGAGGAAAGAAGGCAGGATAGGTACATGAGGGGATCAGAGCCTTTGGAGGAAATGTCAGCTCTGGCTTCATTTGAAGCCCATAACTTGGGCCGGTGAAGCCTAGAAGAAATCCTGAAAGTTCTGCTTCTGACTTATGCAGTGCATAGTATTCTAGTAATAATTGGGATATTTTGTTAATTTGAAATCTTGAGGATTTATATCAGATAGGAAAAACAGAGTCATAAGGAAAGGCACACAGGTTGGGCTAAGTATGTTTTGCTCATCTTGTTCCTTTCTTGGCCCAAGAATGTGTCCACGGTTGCCACCTGATTTGAAGACATCTCAGGGAGGACCAAGATGAAATACTCACAGATGTTTTGAAAATGAAAGGCTAGGTATAGGAGTGCTTGGCATTTCTGCAGAGAAACTGGTAAAGAAAGTCATTACGTTAACATGTTCTGCAAGGCATACATGGAAACAGGTTTGTAAGCAGCTCCATTTATTTGAGTAAATAGCTTGTAAATAAATCATTGGTAAACATTACAAAATTAAATACATTTTCAAAAGCTTGCCAGTATACATAAAATTCACAAACATAGTTCTCTTAAAAAATAAAATATGTTCAAAGCACCCTTGATATAAAATGCCTGGTCCCTGTCCTCTGACAGGGCCACCTAGAGACATCTTACAGTAGGTGGGGTTTCCATGAGGAGGCAGCAGGGACCTCCTGAAGAGCAGGAAGAGTTTCTCCTCTCATCTCTTGCCCCTCCCACATGCCATCTGAATTTTAATTCTTCTCCAGAGATCTGGTATGTAGCTAACGGAGCAGGGCAGGTGTTTGGGCCTTGCTCCAAGCATGGAGATTAAGGTTAAAATTAGGGCCAGGCACCCCAGAATCCTCCACATGAGCCAATGAGAAAAACTAGAAATGCAACCATGCTGCTGAACCTGCCACTCTGCTGTATCAACAGTCAGCAAAAGAAGATGATGTATTTTCATCTTTATACTTGTTCAACACTCAGTTCATACTTCTGGTCTGACACTACCCATGTGCAGAAGGAACCAGAATCTATCTTTGAGGAGGAAGACACTCAATCTACTAACTTCCTCAGACCTGCTTTCATGGAGAGAGAATAATACACAGCATTTGGTTGAAAGCAGAGAACTCACTGCTACACCGTACTCTTTTTTCCATTGTAAGATACCACCCAGAGAGCACGGGCATTTCTCTAGAAATCAAGTTAGTTCTTCAAATTAAGGGTTCATAAAACTTTAAACAACCACAAATGAGGCAAAAAGTACATGATCTGGCAAAGCATCCCAACCAAGGAAACAATAGAAAGTTCAGAAATTAAGCCCTTGACCAACTCAACATTTTTGTAGTGTAGCTCATTTCACTTTGGTGCAGAAAGTAAATGTTGAAGGTCAACAGCATTCACACGAAGAATGCCTCATGGCCTCATGAAAAACCCATGTGCTGTGACCTCCCATGAAAGGATGTCCACAAGCTTATTCCATCAATATGAAATAAAACTCACATCTACGTTTTAACTTAGTAGTGTGTAGATATATACAAGTACAAGAAGCTAGACATCTGAGTCAAATGTACAACTTAAGAAAAATTATTACCAAACTGGTTGTAAGAAAACCATCTTCCCTGTATAATAAGGACCTAAGTATCTGAGTCTTTGCAGAAAACAGCCTGGCCTGACCTATCCTTGGATGTCTACCTGCTTTGATCATCCTTGGTTAGGCTGAAGTCAGAGTCATGATATCTTTTCTATTAAAATATTACACTAATAAAAGCCTTTTTAAAAAAACAACAAAAAAGGAACACTTCTGAATAAAAGTCTAATAGAGTCCCTCCCCACACACCAAAAAAAAGTTTTTCATAAGAACAACTATTGTTTAATAAAAGTCTTCATGAAGTCTACATTGCAGGGCCTTTCTTTGTCTTAGAGAGATTTCCACCCTGTTCAGAATCATACACTCTTCTTCTGCGGAGGGCTCAGTTTCCTCATGCCTCTTATCCGGGACAGCAGCTCTTTGATAAATTCCTAAAAGAGATCAAAGAAGTTAATATGAAGGTCGCTATTAAAATCTGTGTTTCAAATCTGCTTGAAGTAAGTGGTGTCAACTGTAGTTATCTTAGTTGATGAGTTTGATTGGGTGTGTTAACCTCAACTGGTATAACACAGGAAATTCTTAAACAAATGAAGAGTCCTTAAGTGTCACAGCAATGTCTGCTCCCTGCTCTGTGCTCCTTGAAGAAGTCAGGCCACTTCCCCTTACTATATTGCCTCTGACAGATGAGTGGCTCCAGTACTGCTGCCTGCGTACGGGTTATCTGCATCAGATTCTGACTGAGTAGGTCTAGACTGGGGGCTCAGATCCTGCATTTCCAACTAGGTCACAGGTGGTGCCATTGTTGTCCCCAAGCTACCCCTGGAAGAGCAAGGCTTGCTTAACTAGTGATTCTCCAACTTGTTACTTATGAAGCCAAGGAGTGCTGGGCCCACCCCTATGTATCTGGTTCAGTGGATGGGCGTGGGGCCCAGAAATCTGCCTTCTGACCGTCTCAAAAGTGCTGCTGATGCCTGTGGTCCCAGGAGCAGAGAACCACTAGTCCAGATCATAGGAAGAGTCTTTGCATTTGTTTTGAGTGAAAACCACAGACAAAATGTCAAAACCAAGCCAAACCACATTTTATGTTAAGATTCAGCACCTCTACATGCTGAAGTTAAAATTTACAGAACACATTTTACCACTTGCAATGAACTGTGATTTTTTTATTCTACTAATTTCATTCACTACAATGATTTCATGACCTATAAATGGATCAGAACCCAAAGACCGAAAAATCTCTAGAATAGTCCCCACTTCATGCCATCAGAAATCTGTTAAGTTGTCTCACTTTTAAAATGTTTGGCTACCGGTAAGTCATATTTATTAAGGAACAGTTACTTCCTCATCCTATTTTATACTTAAGAAAGACAAAGCTGACAAGCCGGCCTGACTTCCCGATCAGCACGTAACAACCAGTGAGTAAAAAACTAACATCATGGACCATCTGAGGTTAAAAAACAAAACAAAAAACCCTCTGCTGCTTTCCAGCTCCAAAACACAGTGAGCTTAAATATTTAATTTTTTGTGTATCACCATAATTTGTTTCATTAATAGTCTTTTTGCTGTTACAAAATACATGCTTTTTTCTTCCTAAAAACTTCAGAAAATATAAACCAGTAACAATTATTTCTTATAATTAACCACTATTAACATGTTTTCTACTCTGGATATTTTTTTACATAATTAAGATCATACTGTATAATTATATCCTTTTTTTTCCACTCAACATTATGTCAGAAGCTTTTTCCCACAACATTAAAGTTTTCCTGAAAATTATGTTAATGCTTATACAATGCTTTATTGTATGGACACTGTACACTCTACTTAATTCCTTTAGATTTTTAGATGGTTCCTGGCATTCTGAAATCATAAACAATGGCACAAATAACATGTTTATGCATAAGTCTTTGTCCAAAGTTTGGACTATTCCCTTTGGAGAGCTATCCCAGAAGTGGGTCAAAGAACACAAATATTTTAATCACGACCATCTCTGACCTTGGACAAAATGGAATATAAGTCAAGTAAAATGGAGCCCTTATTTCAATTTCCTGAACATTGCCTATCTGCTTTAAAGAATTTTCTTAGATGAAATTATGCCATATTTTATTAATAATTATATTTAAAATCCATTGGGAAAAGTTAAGTGGATTTCTTATTGCCTCCTTTACTATGTGATTTAATCAATATATAGTATTCTGCATATATAGTTTCAACTTTGTCATTTTTGGAATCTGTTACACAGATAACTACTATAAACAGTTTCAGCATTTGACTATAAATTTTCTTTTTTTTTTTAAATCAAGGTCAGAATCACAAACCTTGTAATCTATTTTGTTTATGAACTCTGGTACTTCTTTTCTGCACTATTTTAATAACATTTTTTCACAAAGTAAAGACTAAAATCACATAAGGAATAATGTACTTTAAAGTATAGATCTTTCTCTTGACCTAGGGATGTGGCTCAGTGGTAGAGCACTTGCATAGCATGCACAAAGCCCTGGGTTCAATCTCTAAGACTGCAAAAAACAAAAAACAGGCCTAGTCGTGCATGCCTGTAATCCCAGCATTCTGGAGGCTGATGCAGGAAGATCACTGTGAGCTCAAGGCCAGCCTGGGCTACATAAGCAAGTTCAAGGCCAATCTTCACTACATAGTGAAATCCTGTCTCGAAAAAAAACAAAACAAATCCAAAACCAAATAAAGTATAGACCATTCTCTTCAAGACAAAAGTGATTTGATATTCTGAATCAAATTCAAATGTTCTCAAAAATTTGGTTATTATATGCATAAATCTCAGAAATTAGAAAGTTTAAATAAATGATAAAATTTGCCTTGTGCTTATGATGTATTAACAGTAATGCAAAACTCTCATTTAAATTTTATATGATAACTTACATGTATATATCTTAATACACTGTTTTGTGCATATTTAAACAGTTACATTTGCATATTTGGGTGCTTGGCTGAGTAAGTTAAAAAATAGCACAACCAATATTTATTCTTCATATAGAAACTTGGCAATACCACTTACACAGAAGGATTCTGTTGATTACAGATGATTCTTGAGGAAGATTCAAGGATCTCTAATCAAAAATACTTTGATAACTCTTACTTTATGTTACTCAAAAGCATTAGAAAGCAGCGACAACAGACATCATTTACCTCCAAAACAAATCACGCAGCCTTCAATGTGGGACACTGATTTCATCAGAGGGGGCCACTCTTTTGAGAAATGACCTCTCCCTTGAGTCCTGAATTAAGGGAGGCCAGCATGGAAAAGACCTGGACATCCAGCTGGCGGCATGTGTGCAAAGCCCTGCAGAGAAGCAAGCCAGGAAAGGAAGCCCTGGCCCAGAACAGCCAGGGTGCACAGGTGGGGCGAGGCCAGAGGTACTGAGCCAGACCAGTAGGGCTTTGTAGGCCACAGTGAGTTGATGCCAGGCCACTGTCAGGGCAATGGGAAGCCCCTGAGAGCTTGATGTCAGGGGAGGAGTCACCTGATCCATGTTACTAAAAGAGCCCACTGGCTGCGGAATGATGAATGGGTCTTGTAAAGACAGGAGTGAAAGACACCAGCGCGCAGCCACTGCCGCGGTGCAGGCGAGCGATGTGAGCAGAAACCAGTGGCAGAGCCAAGACACCTTGCCGCTGGATGGACTGTGGCGGGAGGGGGAAGCCGGGAGGGGGTGCAGAAAAGGCGGGAATGAAGGTCACACTCTGCTCCTCCGCAACTACCCGGAAAGGTGGTATCATTTGCTGAGACAGATGGGAATAACCGACAAGAAGAGCAACAAGCTTGTAGATTTGTGCTGAGACAACAAGAAGGCAGCTAACTATGACTTGGACTCACAGTACCACCGGGAGACATAGGTATGGATGCCACTAGCACCTTGAGCAGAGGCTTTCAACTTAAAAACATAACGAACAACTAAATCCAAGTGACCCACAGAGACACAAGCCTGAAATAAAAGTTTCATGAAAAAAAAAAAATTACTATCTTATTTTGAAATAATGCAGGTGAAGACCAGCTAACAGGGTTCACAGCTAGAGTTTGTACACACACAACAGTCCAGACCCAAACTATTTACTACAGCAGCCACTACCAACATGTGGCTATTGAAACTGGAACTAGCTAAAGCAAATAACACTTAGAATACATTTTGTCAGTCATTGTAGCCACATTCCCAGCACTCCATAGCTACGTATAACTAGCGGCTACCCCTTGGGACAAGGCAGATGGAAAATATTTCTATTGCCATGGAAAATTCTGTCAGACAGCACAGGTGATGAAGCTTGAAAATGCAGGAAAAGGTGGGATAACCCTGGAGGTTCGAACAGAGCGGAAAAAGGCAGGAACAAGGCTGACAAATGAGGGCTGGCGGAGGAGCCGGACTCACAAGCGGCAGGAGGTGGAAACAAAAAGAATGCTAGTGAGGAGTCAAGAGGAGAAAGTGTTTCTGGAAGGAACAGGTGTTCAATGAAGGCAGGTACTCATGAGAGGACAGGCAAATCAACGACAAGACAAAGACACTTGATTAGGGTCACTGGGCCCTCGATCAGAGAAATTTCAGCAGGATGGATGGAAAAGAAGCTCACAGCATGCCAAGTGTCCCTGTGACTTTTTTAAAATACAACTTTGTTGAGGTCTAACAGACCTGCCATAAAGTGAACATACTGAGGATTACCACACCACAAGCATCCTATCTGTATAATCAATATAAGGGACATATTCAACACTCTAGAAGTTTCTTCATAATTCTTGGCCATCCCTCTCTATATTTAAACAAACAAACAAATGGGGTGTCTCCAAGCCAGGCACTTGGTCACCGCCTTTACACAGCTTCTTCCCTTGTAAGTTGTCTATGTACTGAAAATGCTCAAGGGATGAACACAAGCTGCTCCCCAGTCAAAGGATTTCCAAATGAAAATGAAAAGTCATTTCAGGCAATTCCCTAACCATGAACAGCATGATCTTTTCTGATACTCAAAAAAAGGGCCCTTGACTCTTTTATGACCTTTCAACTCCTGGCTACCCAGCTGGGTGAGGATGGATGAGGTACTCTGGGGGTGTGGCTTCCACACCGGGAGCGGGGCCCTGGGAATGCTTCACACAGAAAGAAAAGGGAACTACCACTGATGATGGGAGGGCTCCTCCCATGTTACCATGTTTAATCCAACGTAGCCGGTTTTATAGTTCTCACTCATTGCAAGTCATTTGCCCACTATCACAAAATCAATACCATATTTGAATGCAGGCCCCTTGATGCCAACTGCATTGCATAAACATGTACCAAGCTTCAACTTGACCCTACACGGAGTCCATGGCAGATTCTGTCCTAAATGCAGAGCTGCAGAGCAGAAGGGGCAGAAGTACTATTTTCTCGGGGCTCCCAGGCCCACTGGGGAGGAAGACACAGAAAAAGGCCGGTCA